CGTCTCCACCCTTCCCTTTGCCACCTCGAGCTGTACAGCACATGCAGCCGTTCTGCAGCACATAAATCCCATCCTTTTCCTTGCCTCCAGCCTCGAGCAGTGTATGATCGATACTGATGGCACCTATTTCGTTCTCCAACACCATAATCTTGTAAGGTAGTTCGTTCTCGGTCAATAAGATACGGTTGAGCAGCGTGGTCTTCCCGGCCCCTAAAAAGCCCGTTAAAATGGTGACAGGAACGGGTGGAGCACCCGCTTCCTTGGACTTAGCTGCTAACTCCTCTGTTTTACGCTGGATGCGGCTCTCGCGACGTACTTGCATGCACCAGGCTACGACGTTTGCCAGTAGGAAAGAAAACGCCAATAGAACCAGAATGACGACACCAAGCAGTGCCCAAAACCCACGAGGAGACAGGGAAGACAAAGAGGTAGCAGGTGTGAGGTATATTTCATCTTCGTAGCCGCCAGGATGGCCGCTTGATGCTGCTGTGGCGAGCTGCATTACCCGTAAATCCTGTTTGCTGTGCTGTCACAATGATTGGCAAAGTTAAAAAATCCATACATTATTAAAAATGATACTGCTTTTACGAAAACAGTTATTGTGATTTGCAGAAGAAATGTACTTCCTCTCGTTGGTAATAATTGCAACAGTCTCCTAGTCAAGAACGTGGTTTTTCCTACAGACTCGCTTTAGAAGCGCTGATTGGCGGAATCGTCGCGGTGTGATCTCCTCTTTCCAGCGCTGGTTTGCGCGCGAAAAACGCTGCTCAGACGCCAGAGTTATCGACGGAAATGTACCGCAGCAGCTTGCCATTACACATTTTCAGCATCTTTAACACCAGACACTCCCCATTTCCAAGCCGCATGACCAACGCAGCCGACTCAGCTGGGGCCACTTCGAGGCCAAACCTAACGAACCGAGAACGCCAGGATGTCGTCCTCTTCATTCTCATGCACAGCGTGCGGGGGTGAACCTGACTGGGGTTGCTTGACCCGTGCATCTGACCATTTTGGCGTCGACAAGAGCACAATCAGCCGTGTTTGGTCCGCTCCGCACTGCTGGAGCAGATAGCCGACGTCCATTTCAGACGCTGCATGACCCAAGACAGTTTAGCAAAAGAGGTGGGTGTGTCTCGTTCGGTCATTCGCGACGCGCTAAAGGAAGGTAAGCTGCTGCGGCACTTAACACCTTGCGTCCGGACGGTACTTGCCCAGAACGCGTAAGCGCATGTCGTAAGATACGGTATATCAATGTTACTACGTATTTGTATGGGTGCACTTTTTGACGTGAGGTTAGGTGCATTAATTTTCAACAGGGTTTTCTTTCAATGTCGTAACTCTGACGGGATTCAGCGACAGTATTGGCCTGCTCAATGTCGTAACCTGACTGCAAGTGCAGTCAAACAGAT